TTTTTTTAAATCAAATATATTATTATTTAATAAATATACTACTATTTAAATTCATTTACCGCTTGGAGTGCTTACGGTTTGGACTAAAAAACCATTTGTGATTCTTTATAACCAAATTCATTTTTCTTATTTATTGAATGAGTAGAGGAATTTTGGGGGAAATGGGAGTTTTTTTATACCAAGAAACTCGAACAATTTATCAATAATTTGTTGGTTCAAGTAGAAAAAGATTGATTTCCTTTAAATAAGATTTTGGATTCTAGTTTTGCAAATGAAGAGACATGCGTTAGGAGAGTTTCACTATTAATAAAATTCAACGTGACTCAATTTCAAATTAATCGAGACGCAGTATAGTTACCAAATATTAAAAAACTTAATTAAAAAATATAAAAAAAAAACCTCGAACAGTGCTCGAAGCCACGGAAAAACGGGTCCACTCCAACCCAGCTGCCGCCGCAAGTGCCAACCAAGTTCTTTTTTTTGAAAATAGGCAATGTAGTGCCAACCAAGTTCTGGGCCTCGATTCTCATGTCATTTGATATTTTGAACAGAAAACAAGATTCGCATATCAATTAAATTAAATAAATACGCACAGTCTGCATCTTACCATGTTGGGTTGTCCTTGTCCATGTCCATATGTCCGTATATTGCAAGTTGCTTCGTGTGACAGCTGCCAGCATCAAGTCAAATAGTATACATGGTCGACATGGATAGTTCCATGAAAGTGGCAATGCATATATTGTTACGAGGTCGGCAAGCCAAGCTATCACCTAAGAAAGTATATGGTAAGTGCTTTGGATGTAACATGTTCAATTTCAACGTTTGATAATGTAATCACAATAAAAGTATCAATACAGTAGGATAATGATTATAATTACATATAAAATTATAAAAGTCACATAATTTTAGTTTTTTTTTCTTCAATAGTTAATTAAGATATTTAAAAATATTATTTTATAGAATAATTTTAATTTATTAAATTAATTATTAATTAAAAATTATAATTATCAACTATTACTAACAATTAAATTTAAGAAAATTAGTATTGTTAAAAATATAATTAAAAAATTTGTGTCCATAAAAATTTTGTGTGTGGCCTACAGGCCTCACGTACAGAAGTATTGTACAAACATGATATATTGTACCTAAAAATTAAGGAAAATTAAGACATTTATGGATAAAATATTAAAATTAATAATAAAAATATTAAAATATATTTAATAAATCAATACATATAAAAAATTTATTAAAAATATTTAAATAATATTATAAAAACTTTTGACTATTTTTTTTTTTTGTTTTTTGAACTTCAAAAAATTTTGAGGATATTAAATCCAAAATTTTATATCTAAACACCTCCCTTCAAGAGAATACCTATTAGATTATTAAGTGCTGAACAAAAAAATATTTTAACATTTAAAATATAGAAATACCATACTTTTAATTTTTACTTTTTTTTAAACTTTTTTATTATGAAATTGATTCGAAACCCACTCAAAAAAAAAGATATGTACTTTTTCAATAACATTAATCATTGGATGACAAGGCAAGTATACTTTTAATTTTTATTTTTTTTGTATTTTTATTTTTGAACATATATGCACGGAGCGAGTTTCGAACCCAGTCTGGGAGAGGAGAGAATGCACCGAGGTAGCTATTACCACTAGGCATCAAAAGGCAGGTGTACTTTTAATTTTTACTTGTACCTAAAACATTGGACATTTAGCATTTTTCTTTAATTTGTTGCTTGTACTTTAAAACAATGTACGCTGAGCATTTTTCTTTATATGTCAAATCTATTCAGGATATCATATGATTGAAAAACTAGAAAGAATTATAAAAATAATAATAATAATAATAATGTGAGTAGAAAAAGGAGAGCTTGGTATTAGTGGATCTCTTAAAGTTTTGAATAGACCAATCCAATTCGACCACGGCCAGACTCTGGTACCAGCCTATCACCTAAAATTTGGCTTGGAATGGACATGGGTCCAACCTAGACTGAACCTTATCACTAGATATTATCAAGTCAATAACTCAGATTAGTGGGTGTGAGTCTGGGACCAACCCAACCAAGCTGAATCCAACAAGCTAGCACCAGCATCTTTTCTCGTGTCTCTAACACAGGATACGCGAACCAACAAGGGGTTGGATCAAGTGGTAAGCGGCTTGTTTCAGTTTAAGCAAGATCTTAAGTTCGAGACATTGTGAACGCAGCAGCCTTCACTAGGAGACTCATCCACCATTTCCAGGTGCGCGACGCGAATCGAATCCGGATTAATCGGAACGAAGTCCCGGATACCGAACAGAAAACCAAAAAACCGAACAAACGATACGCAAAACAGTGCCCTCAATTAGGACAATTGAGGTGACAGTCCAACAACTAAGAGAGGTGTGCAGTGTGCACCCTGCATTTGATTGGGGACCTAATCTTGGCCAGCTTTTGACGTCTCTGCCCTCTGTTTACTGTCCCTGAATTAAGGGAGGAGGGACCCAATCTCTTGCTTTTGTCAATTATCAGCTAGAACTAGAATCAAGTGCTTGTACACTCCATCTACCGTCCTCAGTCCTCACTAGATGAGTCCATCTACCTATCCTCTCAATAAAAATATCTGCCCTTTTTCATAGACAAAAACCTTTTCTAAACCCTTAAATTTGTCTAAATTAATATTTTAAATTTTAAATTAAAAATAAAATAAATAAAATTTTTAATTTTATTAATAATATAAA